TATGGGACAAAGACTAATTGTTATGTACTCATCTACTGACATGTAACTACTCCACTGAATATAAAATTCAAAGAATTTCCAGACTCAGGGTCCAGAAATTTTTAAGTATTAGCCCCTCTGGACCACTGCAGCTGAAACATAAACCTGCTTGCTAAAAATTCCTTGGATGTCCAGCCTCATCAGTCCTACATCACAGTAAAACATGGCAGGCACTTGGATATTTGTAAAGTGAACGGATATGTAGATGCATGGACCCGCCCTCTGGGGCCTCCAGCCATCTGTTCCATGCTAGGCTGTGCCCAGCACTTCGTCTTTCTGAAGTCTGAGAATGGCCTCTCTCAAGACCTGCCCCTACTGAGAAGGGCACATTGGACGGATTGTTTTGCAGAGCTACAGCTGGGAGGCAGATCAGACTCTGACTACAGAAAGCCGAGCTTGGACATAAGACGGAGTCAGAGAAGAGGAAGACCTGTCCTCTGGCAGAGTCTCTGCTCCAGGAGGTTTTCCTCAGTGGTGGGACCCCTCTGTACAAGCAGATTTATAAACACTGACTTGGAATTTTCCAGAAAGATGGATTCACTGAAACTTGGAATCTAGCAAGTCATCTATGGCCACCTCTTACTTGCAGAGCAAGAAACTGGAGTGGGTGTTTTGCTCAAAATCACAATTTTCTCATCTCCTCATTTCAGTTCAGGGTCTCTGTCATTGGTACTGAGAATGGAGCCCACCGGCATTCTATGACTGAGATACACCCTCAACTCTTCTTTACTTCTTTTTCTTTCTTCCTTTCTATTTTTAAAATTTATTTGGTATTAGTTCTAATCAGTTATACACGACAGCAGAAAGCTTTTCAATTTATTGTACACAAATAGAGCACAATTTCTCATTTCCTTGGTTGTACACTATGTAGAGTCACACCACAAGTGCAGTCATACATATACCTAGGGTAATGAAGTCTATCTCATTCTGCCATCTTTCCTATCCCCATGCCCCCTCCCTTCCACTCCCTCCCCTTTGCCTTACCTAAAGTTCCTCCATTCCTCCCATTCCCCCCACCCCCATTATGGATCAGCATCCACTTCTCAGAGAAAACATTCAGCCTTTGGTTTTGGGGGATTGGTTTACTTTACTTAGCATGATGTTCTCCAACTCCATCCACTTACCTGCAAATGCCATAATTTTATTCTCTTTTAATGCTGAGTAATATTCCATCGTGTATCTATACTACAGTTTCTTTATCCATTCATCTATTGAAGGGCATCTAGGTTAGTTGCACAATTCAGCTATTATGAATTGAGTTGCTATAAACATTGATGTGGTTGCGTTACTATAGTATGCTGATTTTAAGTCCTTTAGGTATAGACTGAGGAGTGGGATAGCTGGGTCAGATGGTGGTTCCATTCCAAGTTTGCTAAGGAATCTCCATACTGCTTTCCAGAATGGTTGCACCAATTTGCAGTCCTATCAGCAATGTATGAGTGTGCCTTCCCCCACCCATCCTCACCAATACTTACTGTTGTTTGTAGTCTTGATAACTGCCATTCTGACTAGCATGAGAGGAAATCTTAGAGTAGTTTTGATTTGCATTTCTCTAATGACTAGAGATGTTGAACATTGTTTCATATATTTGTCGATCAATTGTATCTGTTCTTCTGAGAAGTGTCTGTTCAGATCCTTAGTCCATTTATTGATTGGGTTGTTTGTTTCTTTGGTGTTAAGTTCTTTTGAGTTCTTTATACATCCTGGAGATTAGTGCTCTACCTGTCCTGCAAGTAGCAAACATTTGCTCCAAAAATGTAGGCACTTTCTTCACCTCATTGTTGTTTCTTTTGCTGAGAAGAAACTTTTTAGTTTGAATCCATCCTGTTTATTGATTTTATTTCTTGTGCTTTAGAAGCTTGTAAAGAAAGTCGGGGCCCAATCCAATGTGATGAAGATTTGGGCCTTCTTTTTCCTCTATTAGGCACAGGGTCTCTAGTCTGATTCCTAGGTCCTTGATCCACTTTGAGTTTTGTATGTGGTGAGAGATAGGGCTTTTGTTTCATTTTGCTGCATATGGATTTCCAGTTTTCCTAGCACCATTTGTTGAAGAGGCTATCTTTTCTCCAATGTATATTTTTGGTGCCTTTGTCTAGCATGAGATAACTGTATTTATGTGGGTTTGTCTCTGTGTCTTCTATTCTGTACCATTGGTCTATATGTCTATTTTGGTGCCAATACCATGCCATTTTTGTTACTATAGCTTTGTGGTATAGTTTAAGGTCTGTATTATCTTCTTGATTTTTTATTTTGAGGCAGGGCTCCCTAAGTTGCCAGGCTGACCTGAAACTTGTGATCCTCCTGCCTCAGCCTCCAAAGTAGCTGGGATCACAGGTGTTCAGGGTTCTTTCTACTGTGCAGCGGTGGCCCTCTTGTGGCCATGGTGGGATGTTGGAGACGCCAACCTTGGGCCTTTCCTTGGTGACCCAGATGCTGACCAGCTTGGTCAGTTGGTGGGGTGCTTTATTCCACTCTTCCCAGTTTTGGGGTTGAAGGATCCAGGCTGATGTATTTTCTGCTCCATGCAGAGGGGTCATGCATGGTGGGATTTCCTCACCCTCCACCAATGTTCAATATTAACACCCAAGTTTGCTCCCACCTGTAGCAGGTAATAATTGCTGCCCAACAATTAACCCCCAAAACATAGTAGCTTAAAGCCACAACTTTTTATTCAGCTCTTTATTCTGTAGGGTGGCAATTTCAGCCAGGCACAGGAGGGAAGTTTTGGTTTTAACTCAGGTCTCCATTTTTTCTGCAATCAGTCTGTGAGACGGATGGATGGATCTGCTATATATTTTAGGTTATTTCAAGAATTAGAGAAAATACATTAATTCATTACTTCTTTTTTAAATTTATTTTTTAGGTGTAGATGGCCACAACACAATGCCTTTATTTATTATTTTTTTAAAGTGGTACTGAGGATCCAACCCGGGCCCCGCCCATGCTAGGCGAGTGTTCTACGGCTGAGCCACAATCCCAGCCCAATTCATTACTTCTTTATTTGCTTATATTCCATAGCAGTCATTGCATATTTTAAAAATACCATCTGGGATTATTTGCCCTGTTGTGTTTTCATTATTTCCGCCACATTTTATTTATTTATATAAAACAGCAGAATGCATTACAATTCTTATTACATATTTCCCCCATTTTTTAAAGTGTAAAAAGCCCTATGTACAGAAAAGTTGAAAGAATAATACATAGATACCTGTGTCCCTATCACTCAGATTCAACAATTGTTGAAACTATCTGTCATTGTCATTTTCTGCTTGTGTGTGTTTTCATTTGGTTCCTCTTGTTTGGGTCCTGGGGATTGAATCCAGGGGTGTTCCACCACTGAACCCTATCTCAAGCCCTTTTTATTTATTTTTTATTTTGAGACAGTGTCTTGCTAAGTTCCTGAGGCTGGCCTTGAACTCACAATCCTCCTGCCTCAGCCTCTCCAGCAGCTCGGATTTTAGGCATGCACCATCATGACCAGCTTGCATATGTTTTGAGCAATTTGAATGTAATCTGAAGCTTGGATTTCCCCCAGATCAAAAAATTGTCTCTCTTACTTATACCATTATTCGTACCTAAGAAAACTCAGAATAATTTCCTATTCCACATTCTCCAAATGTCCTGTGTGTGTGCACACATGCATGTGAGAGTGCACACGTGTAGACTTGTGCACATACTAGGACAGCAGTCTACCAGTGAGCTACATCCCCAGCTCACTGTCCAGATTTTTTTTTAATATTTATTGTTTAGTTGTAGTTGGACACAATACCTTTTTTTAAAAAAATATTTTTTTAGTTTTAGGTGAACACAATATCTGTTGGGAGTCGCGCGGGCTCCAAAGACTAAATTCCCCATCCCCCAAGAAGAGCCCACTAATGGTGAGCCCTGCTGGCTCACATGATCCTGACGTCCAATAGTGAGCCCTGCTGGCTCACATGATCCTTAACCACCAATCAAAAAGCACCCCATGCTAACTGTCAAACCCTTCAACCATTAAACTGTCATAACTGTCAAACCCCCACCTCGGCTCTATAAATAGGCAGAGCTGTTCCTCAATAAACGGGCATTTTCTCCCACAGCAAGCCTTGATCATTCTTTCAATATCTTTATTTTACATTTATGTGGTGCCGAGGATCGAACCCAGTGCCCCCAGCATGTTAGGGGAACACTCCACCAATGAGCCACAGTCCCAGCCCTGGACACAATACCTTTATTTTATTTATTTTTACGTTGAAAAGGTTAAGAATGTAAGAATTAAGTTCTGTTTTCCTGGAACCTGAAACTCATGTAGAAGTTGAAAACAACTCCCGGAAATGCCCACTGATCATCTGGTTGCTCTATGAAAACAACCCCTCCCAGAAACCGTGCAATGATTGGCTATGCTGTATGTGAAGTCCCTGCCCTCTCCAAGGAAAGTATATAAGCTCTGCTTAAGCTGTTCCCGGGGCTCTCTCTCTGCTCTATTCAAGTGAGCTCTGAGCCCCAGCATGCTGGACCCCCAATAAACCCTTTGCTGTTTCATGAGACAGTCTCTTGGTGGTCTCTTCCTCCGACGCTAGCCCGACCTTTACATCTGGAGGTCCCACCGAGATCCGGCAGCGGCGGACGAAAGACCCCAACAGGCTCCTCTCGGGGTAAGTAAGGCGCCTCTTTCCGGTTTCAGGTTTCAGGTTAGGGCTTGGCAAAGTGGCTGTCGGTGAAGAGTGTGAGCTCTCTCCAACGGTGGCTGAGAGACGTGTCACAGAACCACAGGCCACGTCCCTGGGGGACGCCCCAGAGGACTTGGGAAATTGAGGTCCTCGACTCGGTGATATTTTGTTTCGGATTCGGTATTGCCAGCCCATCGGGTTTTGCCAGCTACTCAGTCCTGGTCTCAGTGTTGGACGTCCATTGTCTGTCTTTATTGTCTTGTCTTGTCTGTGTCGTGTGTCGTTGCTTTCACTGTTTGTGTATCTTTCATTATGGGACAGAGCACTTCAACGCCTCTGTCCCTGACCCTTGATCAATGGACCGAAGTCTGCTTAAGGGCTCAGCATCTTTCTTTTTCAGTAAAACGCCGGAACTGGCAGACTCTCTGTGCCTCAGAATGGCCCACCTTTGGAGTCGGATGGCCCCCAGAAGGATCTTTCTACTTCCCACTAATTCAAAAAGTCAGAGATATTGTCTTTCAGCCGGGGCCACATAGCCATCCAGATCAACAGCCGTATATCTTAACTTGGCAGGACCTCTGTGAATCTCCTCCTCCATGGGTGAAGCCTTTCCTTGTCCCTGCCCCCGCTCCTACTCCTTCCCCCATGATTCTATCTCTCAAACCCTCTGCTCCTCCTCCTCCTCCACCCTCTGTTCTCCCTGAGTCTCAAGATTTGACTCTACTGGACTCTCCTCCCCCTCCTTATCCCCTGCCCTCGTCCCTCAACCCCCAACGCCCTCTAAGTGATTCCCCTGCTGCTGACTCAGCCTCTCCACCATTGGAGGAAGCTAGGCCGGCCCAGCGCCCTCCAGATGACTCCTCCATGGCACACACAGCCCCTACTCCCCTGGAGGAAGCTGGCCCAGCTAAAGGAACTCTCCAGCGGCGAATGATTGAAAACCCTGGAGCTCCCGTGATGCTCCCCCTCCGTCCCTACGGGCCAATGATTAATGACGGCCATGGGGGAGAAATGCAAGCCTACCAGTATTGGCCTTTCTCCTCTTCAGACCTATATAACTGGAAAAATAACAATCCCCCTTTTTCCGAGGACCCCACCCTGCTCACAGGTCTGGTTGAGTCATTGATGTTTTCACACCAGCCTACTTGGGATGACTGCCAACAACTCCTAGGGACTCTCTTCATGACAGAGGAACGAGAGAGAATCCTCCTGGAAGCTAAAAAAAAATATCCTCGGACCAGATGGGCGACCGACCGACACAACTTCCCAACATAATCGAAGCCAGCTTCCCCTTGAACCGACCCAACTGGGACCCCCAACACCTTTAAAGGTAGGGAGCATCTGTCCACTTATCGCCAGGCTCTAATAGTGGGTGTCCGAGCGGCTGCTAGGTGACCAACTAATTTGGCCAAGGTAAGAGAGATTATTCAAGGGCCTGATGAATCTCCCTCTATGTTTCTAGAGAGAATTATGGAGGCATATAGGAGATATACTCCTTTTGATCCTCAGGCAGAGGATCAAAAGGCATCTGTCACGATGGCCTTTATTGGGCAAGCTGCCCTGGATATTAAAAGAAAGTTACAACGCTTAGATGGATTACCAGATATGACTTTGAGAGATTTAGTCAGAGAAGCTGAGAAGGTATACTATAAGAGAGAAATTGAGGAAGAGAAGGAACAAAGGAGGGAGAAAGAAAGGGAGCAAAGGGAGGATGAGAGAAGCAAAAGACAGACTAAGGCATTGACTAAGGTCCTGGTCACAACAACAAATAGGCCAGAAATTAAGAAACAGAGAGACAGGAAGGGATACCTGGGCCCACGCCAGAGGCCACCCCTGGCCTCAGATCAATGTGCCTACTGTAAAGAAAAAGGACACTGGGCCAAAGAGTGCCCTAGAAAGAGACAGCCACGCCAGCCAGCCATTCTGACTCTGGAGGATGACTAGGAAAGTCGGGGCTCGGATCCCCTCCCTGAGCTCAGGGTAACTTTTGAAGTGGAGGGGACCCCAGTAAACTTTGAAGTGGATACAGGGGCAGTATACTCAGCCCTTAAGGCCCCATTGGGCCCTCTATCAAATAAAAGGTCTCTAGTTCAAGGGGCTAACGGCAGTAAATATCAGGCTTGGACAACTAAGAGGACCATGGACCTGGGGAAAGGAAAAGTCCATCACTCCTTCCTAGTAATCCCAGAATGCCCGGCTCCATTGATGGGCAGAGATCTGTTCACCAAGCTCCGGGCCAGAATAACTTTTAACCCTGAAGGTCCCCAAGTGGAATTTCTAAATCCTTCAGTAAAAACTCCTATAATCACGGCTTTAACTATGTCAGTAGAAAATGTACATCAACTCACTCACCTTGGTTCAAAGAAACTGCAGGCATTCCTGAAGGATCAAGAACAGAGTTTTCCACTAACCGACTCACAGCGAAAGGAAATAGCTGAACGGGTAACAAAAGCCTGTCGGGTCTGTCAATTGGTTAATGCTTACCCTTCCAAGCTTCCTGTAGGAAAGCGCCTACGAGGAACCAGACCAGGACAATTCTGGGAAGTGGACTTTACTGAAATTAAGCCAGCAAGGTATGGACTTAAATATCTCCTAGTCTTTGTAGATACATTTTCAGGATGGATTGAAGCCTTCCCCACAAAAAAAGAAATGGCACAAATGGTGGTCAAGAAGATCCTGGAAGATATTTTTCCAAGATACGGCCTGCCTAAGGTAATAGGGTCTGATAATGGACTGGCGTTCGTGGCCCAGGTAAGTCAGGGGTTAGCCAGGACCCTGGGGATTAATTGGAAGTTACATTGTGCTTATAGACCCCAGAGCTCAGGACAGGTAGAAAGAATGAATAGAACCATTAAAGAGACCTTAACGAAATTAAGCTTAGAGACCGGCATAAAAGATTGGACTATGCTCCTGCCTTATGCCCTGTTTCATGCAAGAAATGCTCCCTCTGTTTCTTTGTGTAACCTCACCCCCTATGAAATTCTCTATGGTGCCCCTCCTCCAGTAAGGGACCTAATCCCAACTATAAGATCTAAGGATCCCTTCCACACCCCCTTGCTTGACAGACTTAAAGCTCTTGAAAGAACCCAGCGATACCTGTGGAAACAGCTGGCCACTGCCTACCAACCTGGTGACAAAGGGACTCCACACTGATATCAAGTGGGAGACTTCGTCTACGTAAAACGACATCAGGTGTCATCCCTGGAACCCCGCTGGAAAGGACCATACCAGGTGCTACTTATAACACCTACAGCGGTAAAGGTAGATGGAATCACTTCCTGGATCCATGCCTCTCATCTCAAGCCTGCGCCCTGTCCAGACTCTGGCTGGAAACTGGAAAAGACTGGTAACCCTCTCAAATTGCGTATTCGCAGTGTGGATAGGGCTATGGACTCTCCCCTTGACCACCAGTAGTCCTAACCCTCATCAGCCCGTTCAGCAGCGATGGCTGATCACAAATCCTACTGGACAAGAAGTATGGTCTATCTTGCATATAGCCCCCTTAGGGACCTGGTGGCCATCTCTCCACCCAGACATTTGTCAGCTGGCTATAGGTCTTTCCTATTGGGATATCCCTGATGAAGAGGATCCCACTAAAATTCCATTAAATCCCTTCCGTACCATAGATAATGGAAACAAACATTATGGATGTAGGGACACGTGAGCCAGATGCAGGTTGGCTAGCCTAGATTACTATGTTTGCCCAGCGGACTATCGAAGCCGCAAACAGTCATGGCTGTGTGGGCGAGAAGCCGACTTCTTCTGTAAGTCATGGGGATGTGAGCATACAGGGGCTGCCTGGTGGAACCCAAACTCCCCTGATAGTCTGATTCGGGTAGGAAGAAATAATACTAAGTTAAGTCCCGAACAATGTCTCCCATTTAAATGGGACCCCCAAGCAGGGACTTCTGGACTAGCTGACCCTACTCCATGTGACACAAGTAGCCTATGTAACCCCCTAAATATAACCTTCACCTCCAAAGGAAGAAACCGAAATATCTGGACATGGCTTTCAGGAAAAACCTATGGAATGCGATTTTACACCACAGGATATGATTTTGGCCTTTGGTTCACTATCCGGTTTGAAAGAAAAGAAATTCCCTTAGCCATAGGGCCCAATCCCCTCAAGCCAGGAATTGGGCCTCATAGACCTCCCGAACCTAAATCTACTAGGATCCCTTCACTTTCCCATACTCCTCAAGTTTCACCTTCGTTTAATTCCCCAATCCAGAGTGAAGTCAACCCCTTCCCCTGGGGGCTAATTGAAGGAGCCTTTGCGGTACTGAATTCCATGCAACCAGACCTCACTCAGTCTTGTTGGCTCTGTCTCTCCGCTGCTCCTCCTTACTATGAAGGGATAGCAATTGACGGGACTTATGCAGTAAAAGTGCAGAGTTCCTCCTGTAATTGGGGTGGAAATCCTAAGTTAACCCTCCCAGAAGTAACGGGGCAGGCTTATGTATAGGGTCCCCACCTAAAAGTAAACAACACTTATGTACCCAGATAAAAAAAAATTAGCACCACACAGGGTTTCCTTACCGCTGAAAATGGAACCTGGTGGGCATTGACTCAGGGTTAACTCCTTGCATTTCAGCCCAGGTATTTAACAGCTCTGTAAATTATTGTGTAATGGTGCAGATGTTTCCCAGAGTGCTCTATCATGACGCAGGTTTGTTTGAAGATCAAATAGGGGGGCATACAACCCGGTTCCGCCGGGAACCTGTATCCCTCACTTTAGCCATCCTATTAGGAATAGGAGTTGCTGCAGGGGTGGGCACAGGAACCACTGCCCTGGTCCGTGGGACACAACAAATGACCCAATTAGAAGCAGCAATAGACCAAAACTTAAAGATATTAGAAACCTCCATCACAGCTTTACAGGAATCTTTAACCTCTCTCTCTGAAGTTGTTTTACAGAACAGGCGAGGGTTGGACCTCCTCTTCATGAGAGAAGGGGGCCTTTGTGCTGCATTGAGAGAAGAATGTTGTTTTTATGCCGACCATACTGGAGTTGTAAAAGAATCTATGAGTAAATTAAGAAGATGCCTTAAAGAGCGTCAGCGAGAGAGAGAGGCCCAAAAAGGGTGGTTTGAGTCTTGGTTCACACAGTCCCCCTGGTTAACTATGCTTTTATCAGCTCTGGCTGGTCCATTAATAATCCTCATATTATTGCTAACTGTAGGACCCTGTTTGCTCAACCGTGTAGTTTCCTTTCTCCAAGCTCAAATTGGACAAGTTAAACTTATGGTAATCAGACAACAATATGCCTCACTGGCAGAAATAGAGTGTGATACCCCTCAATAATTATGATTTCTTACTTTTAAGATTAAAAGTAGTCAGAAAAAGAAGTGGGGAATGAAAAGGTTAAGAATGTAAGAATTAAGTTCTGTTTTCCTGGAACCTGAAACTCATGTAGAAGTTGAAAACAACTCCCGGAAATGGTTGCTCTACGAAAACAACCCCTCCCAGAAACTGTGCAATGATTGGCTATGCTGTATGTGAAGTCCCTGCCCTCTCCAAGGAAAGTATATAAGCTCTGCTTAAGCTGTTCCCGGGGCTCTCTCTCTGCTCTATTCAAGTGAGCTCTGAGCCCCAGCATGCTGGACCCCCAATAAACCCTTTGCTGTTGCATGAGACAGTTTCTTGGTGGTCTCTTCCTCCGACGCTCACCCGACCTTTACAACGTGATGCCTAGGATCAAACCCAGGGCCTCACACATGCTAGGTGAGTGCTGTACACTGAGCCACAACCCCAGCCCCCAGATTTTTTAACAGTTTTTTCAGAGTTGAAGCCAAACAAAGCTGATGTTTCTATAATCTTTTTTTTTAATATTTATTTTTAGTTTTAGGTGGACACAATATCTTTATTTTATTTTTACGTGGTGCTGAGAATTGAACCCAGTGCCTCATGCATACTAGGCGAACACGCTACCACTTGAGCCACATCCCCAGCCCCTCTATAATCTTTTTTGATCAGTAATGGCCCCTCCATGAAATTGACTTTGTGAAGAAACTAGGCCAATCATCTCATAGTAAGTCGTGTGTTACTGATTTGTCCAGTGGCTTCCACATGATATAGGTCAATCTGTTTCTGTGCATTTATTTCCTGTAAACTGGAAAATTCGGCCTTAGTACTGGGTAAGATTTGTTAGAAAGTCAGGGGACTATTTCCCAGGACTGGCACTTTGTTAATTAAATCATGTAGGGAAACCCATGATGTTACTCTGCTTCCATCATTGAGGCTGGGATTTGTCACTTGCTTATGGGGGCAACAGTACCATCTCTCCACTACAAACAGACAAACAGACAACCAACAACACTGGAACATGGACAGAGTACTGGATACTATTAAGGAATTATTAACTTCATTAGATTTGATAATGTGGTTACATTTGTGAAAGAAAATATCCTCAGTTTTCAGATGTATACAGAGAAGTATTTAGGGGTGGGTGAAATGATGAAATGTTGGGGGTGTGATTTCAAAGAAGATAGCAATAATTTCTCAAAGGAAGAGGGGTAGATTAAGTGAGAGTGTCAAATAGTTGATGATTCTACAAACTAAAGGAGGGGAAAAAAGTGGTTCTTTTATTACCTTTTCCCTTTTGTATGTCTTTAAACATTAAAAAAGAGAAAAATAAGAATGAATGATCGATTCATTGATAAATGATGGGAAAATCAAACAGCTAAATTCTGAATACAGTAACTAGTTCAGACTTAAGTCTCTTAGTTACTAATCACATCTTTTGTCTTGCTCAAATTATTTTCCTGCTCTCACAGTATATCAAGCAAACGTCATGCAGCCAACTTGGTAAATTAGGAGCATTATCATAACTGTTTTAAAGGATGAAATAAGCCAATCTCTACTTTTAAGGTTTATTCACACCTGTTTGCCCAAGTAAAAGGCCACAAGTATTTTTTAAAAATCATGAAAGGATGAAATCTACAACAATGGTTATTTATTTTAAAATTTTTTTTAGATGTTGATAAACCTTTATTTTATTCATTTATGTATATGCAGTTCTGAGAATCGAACCCAGTGCCTCACACATGCTAGGCAAGTGCTCTACCACTGAGCCACAGCCCCATTCCAACAATGGTTATTTCTAAAGGTAGGCTTTGTTCTTTGGGTAATATCATTTGCACCCATTTCCTGTCCTGACACAGCAGACAATTCTGCAAGCTGCATCAGTTTTTGGTTTCAAATGCAGTTGGCAGAACCCCAATATGGCCTTGGAGGAAGCACAGTTAATGAGAGAAATGCTGCTCCGGGGACTGCTTTCCTGGCCCTTCAAGATTCCTTCAGGGGCTGCCAATCATCTCTTTAGATGATGATCTTGGCTTGTCAGGTCACTTTAACTCGGAAGCCACTAACACATGGCTAGGCCAGCTGCAATCATTGTGTACTTGGTGCATCACAGTTTGCAAAGATATTTTTACATACATTTCTCTTAAATTCTCTCAACCATGCTGCAGAATAGGTAAGCTAATGAAAGCCCTCAAAGGCTGGGGAGGTTCTCCAGATGCCACAGCTAACATGGGGTAGAGTTCCTCTGGAATACAAGGCATCCCTGCTACACTGCCTAGTGGCCCCACTAGGCCCAGGTAGGACTTTTCAAGAAGGCTTCAATACAAGAGCAGTTGAATAAAGTCAGAATTTGTGTTAGTAACCTCTCCACATGGTTATCTTTGTCTCATTGCCTAATTCTTCAGGAGCAAATATATCTAAGGCACAATTTGGTTTATTTGACTCCTTTTACTACTGTTCCTATTTTAACACTCAAGCAACAGAACCCACTGACACCCACTGAGTGTCAGGCTCTGGGAATTCTGGGATGCCTTGGTCACTGTCCTGCTCTCTGTGCTTTGCCACCTCCCAGAAGACACACTGGGTCTAGCTCTAGCTTGGGTCTAGTGCTGCATGGAGTACAAGTGAGGTTATCAGGTTGTACAATCCTCTGAGTGAGTCCTATTTTTCTAAAGGAGGTAACACTTGAGCTGCCCTTGAACAATGGGGAGGATTGTGGCAGACTGAGAAAATGGAGAATGCTTTCAGGAGTCCAATTGCATAAAAATCCATCTCTTTAACTTCCCATCGTGTGTGTGCCAGGGTTCTTAACTTGTGCTTATTATTTTTCAAGAGTAGTTACTGTTCTCCAATTCCTCCTATATTCATACTTCAAAACTGTCAGAAAGGTTTTTTGGATGACCCACATCCTATTACAGTTAAATCACATCTGTTTGCAATCAGTGGAGACCTAATGGACCCAGCTGTATTAACTACAATTGGTTGGCCCCAGCAAATGTCCCAAACAAGTAAATGCCTCCCAGACCTGTCAATATGTGGATTGAACTAACCAGGACTGACATCTTCTAATACTTCATACAGTCCAAAATATCCAAAGTATTTTTGGGGAG